TATAAACACACTCTAGTTATGAAATTATAGAAAACTCCCTAAAGTAGTAACTAAGCAATACGAAGTTTAAAACTTTTTAGTCACGGGTTGGACATGCTAAACCGTAGTGATTTTATCCTATTATATAATTTAAATGCCTATTTTTCTTCAATGCCATATTGCTTCTTCGGGGCGCAGAAAGATCGAGACATTTATTCCCCCCTTCAAAAAAATAATAACTTTGTGAATACTTGATTTTGCAGAGCCTTCTATATTAAAATATGTTGTCGTATTCAACTACTTTTCTAATGTTGAAGTTTTGAGTGTATTTACAGTGTAATAAAATAATATAACTAAATTTTTTTTCGAAAAAACGTTAATTTCAGGTATTGAGCATTGATTCATCAAGCATTCCATGTTCAATAAGCTACTCTACAATTGGACACAAAGTTTCACTTACTCATGGAATACCCCATGTATCTTTTCTCGTGCGCTTGCATTTGCATTTAATGACAAAAATAGGGTAAATAGGAATTTTTATTGCATTAATGCATATTATTATATTGTTATCTAGTTTTCAGATAAAATATATGGAGGAAAAGGAGAACGCAAAAGCTGTCAAAGAAGCATACCTTCTGCGTTTCATGCTTTGTTGTCAAAGTTTGAACTGTCAAGCAAAGCGAGGAAAGTTGTATGTGAATGGCGTGTAAGCGCCTCAAAGTTTCAAACATCGTACAGTTTCATAAGTAAAAACACTATCAGCTGATTGCCAAAATATGCCTACAGCTGAGATCACCTGTTTTTTGGCATGTGCTCTTATCTTTTACAATTTCTTTCATTTCTATTACAATTTCATTTATTTCTATTACAATTTATTCAAAATACACTAACACACTGAACCAAAAACACCAATACAATAACCAAAAACACACCTACAGCCTGCCAAAAACACACCTACAGCCTGCCAGAAAAAACGGTAAGAAGAAGAGTTACTTTACTTATGGAACTGTACGATGGTTTCAAATAGGCAAATGTTTTATTTGAAAGCGATTCGTAGGCTTTTGACAAAAAAATATGTTCCCGTTCTAAATCAATTCAAACAAACTGCTGCAGACTTTTATGTACAAAAATTGTCTTAAGTAATTTAAGAAAATAATAATATAATATTAGTAATTCAAAGTTTAATAAAAAGTAATCTATGTTTCCATATTTATATTTAACATGTCGCTGGCTTAAAGTGAAAACATGCTAAGTCCAATTTTACAAATTTTACAGGAATTTTGAATACAACATTTTGCGTGTTTAAAGCAAAGCAAAACTCCATACAAACCAGAAAGATTCGCTCTCTGTTAAAAAATTTCGTATTTTTTTGGCCTCATTGCATATTCGGGGTAAGTCGTCTCTTGAAAAATCGATTTTTTTTTAGTTTTTTGTTTCTAATAAATGTACATATAGTTTTATATGTATGTATAATTATTATCATTCCTTTGAAATGCAATAATTAATTCACATTCATTTAAAAATAAATCTGAAAGGATGGTTTTGTATTTCTTTTTTTTTAATTTTCTGGAATTTCATGGCAAAATTATTCTTAGTGTAAGGAAACAGACCTTGACTTTTTAACTACATAGCTGGTTGCTTTGACAGCGTTCCAAGCCGCCATTTGGCCAAACGAGTTTTTGAAGTAAATCAAAGCAAATTAAAGTAAGGTTGCAAACAGAGTGGAAGCGAAGCCGAAGACGAAGATGAAGACGAAGCCGAAGACGAAAAACAGTGCAGTAGTAAACATATGAAAGTGATCACAGTGCAAGCAAAGACGGAGACGAAGATCAAGATGTTGCGCAAGCGGTCAGCTTGAAACAGTGCGGTACTGTTTTCAAAGACGAATCGCTTGCTGTGATGAGTTGTTTACAATTGATTTAACTGCTTGCAATTGTGAAAAAACGCGTTTTTTAAGAAATTGACAAAATGTAATCAAACGTATTAATTGGCATTCTTGTATATTCGAAAAATGTCTGTCCGTCTTGCCGTAACACATAATACAAGTGGCGAAATTCTCCAAAAGTTGTCCTATACAAATTATTTCATGAATTGCTGTTTTTTTTTTATTTTCTTTTGATTTTATCTAAAAACAAATTTTTATTTAGAAACTAATCTTCATATCATTCATCTTCCACTATGTACACTCGCCAGCTTGCCCGCAACGCAAGCAATTCGTCTTCCGCTTCGTCTTCATCTTCGTCTTCGGCCAAACGAGTTTTTGAAGTAAATCAAAAGGTTAAGGTTAAGCAAGGCGTGCAAAGCAAGCCTGCATTTGAAAACTTTCAACACGAAATTTAAGAAGGGTTCCGTCTTTTGTTTTAAGGGGTTGAGGAGTTCCATTACATTGAGGAATTTTTTTAATTAACTATTAATTAAAATGTTTCTTAAACATATTTATAACGCAATTCTGCAAGAGGGTACAAAATTGGAAGGAAGTGATTTCTTGAAATTGCAAATTCTCATAAGTAAATAATTTCCGAAATAGGTTACAGCGGACAATATTTAAATTTTTTTATTAATAATACATGTAGTTTTGAAGTAATCAAGAAAACAAATGAAAATAGAGCCCAACGAATGTTCTTAAATCTTTTTTTTGGGAAAAGTTTATAATTTGCGACTTATTGTAAATGGTAGAAACCACAAACCACAAACCCACAAATCAAGTTTTAGAATCTTTATTAAATGCTTGACCCAATAGCGAAGAAACTTGTTTAATACAATAACTAAATAATAAAATGTATATCTCTAAAGTTAGAAGCAGAAGCGCTTAAATTTGTTCACTTATTTTAACGTAGATATGTAGGTACATATGTAATAATTTCTGCACATACCCTTTATTGGTACATTTATTTAAAAAGCTGACAGCGAAACAGAGATGTTAAAATCGTTAAAAATTAACACTTTTCATAATGACATTCTTGTCACTAAAACTATTTCTCCAATTAATATTTTTATTTATTATAAATACTTGTACAAATTTAAGTGGAAAAAATTTATGATAACGCCCAATAAACTATTTTTCGTGTTGAAATTTTGAAATCTGTTTAATAAAATTCAACCTTGCTTATTTTTCAGTGGGTTTTGTGTGTTTAGAATATTTATATCGATTGATTGGTACTGAATGAAAGTGTGCACACATAGCAAAAGCAGCATTCATCTGAATGCTTATTCAGTGTTAAAAGTTAATGTTTCGTCATAAAATTTGTTCAATATTTCTTTGAATATGTTAATGTGTGCAATCGTATCTAATTTAAATGAATGTAGAATTGGAAAATTATAAGCCACATTCCCTAACAAGGAAAAATTCAAGGAAAACATAATAACATAAAATTGATGATTTTTAATTTCATATGATTTCACAGTTTTACAGCTCTGATAGATTGGTGCACACACATGCATATACATATGCACATAATACGGGCACCAATTAATTTCATTTAAAGAAATGGCGTGTCGTCCATTTCCGCTGTAGCGTACGTAGTGCATAGGGCGACATCTACCTCTCAACTGACGAGGTTGATGTCTAGATTTTATTATAGGAACTTTGCAAAGCAAAGGTTTTATAGCTGTCTGGACACACAACATTGCAAGTGACTGGACACACAACATTGGAAATTGATAAAAGCGTTGTAAAATATAAAAGTTTAACTGTAACCTCTTTTATTGGCTTTAGTTTTTACTTATTCCAGATAATCTTGGTATGGTTGAAATCAACATGAAAAGTTCTATCGAGCCACATCTTTGCTTTTTCATAGCTTATATTCCCCGCTAATGAAAACACTTACTGAGGAGGCCATGACTTGTTGTATAATTTTGTTCTAATTTAGCTTTGGCTATTTTTTGTTAAATAAACAATTGTAAATACTCTAGGTTTCAGCTAGATGCAATATCTAACCAGTTCCGAGTAAAAAAAAGTACTATTTAGTTGGTTTAGTTTTTAATAGTTTTATCGGCGAAATCAACGATTCTTTCCCTATTTTCAAGTGGCTGCCCTCAGGAGCCCTGAGTCCGGGGTGAAGGGGAGGCGGGTCATTGAATTCTTTGTTTTCTTAAGTCGGACAATATAAGATGCCATTCATTTTTTGTACCAGCCTCAAATTCAAATTTCCTTAAAATTTTCTAGATTGTGTTTAATGCAATGCGATCCGCGTTGCCGTTTTGATACAATTGTGTCATTTTTGATACTTTTTTCAATTTTTAAGATTTGATACTTTTTTGTTCACAAATGCCCCATTGTGATACTTTTAGTTTGCAGAAAGGAATTTTTGAAAACTACGAATAATATTACTAGTTTAAAGGCAAATAATCTTTTTCTTGTTATTTAAAGTCTTATGGCCTTATTCATAAAAAATATAATAGGTTTAAAGCGCTGTATAAAGAGCCATTTTCATAAAAATTTTCGATTTATAAAGCAGTTAGGGCCACTACATAATTTCAGTACAATTCTGAGTTAACTACTCACTGTGAATTTGGCCCTTAAAGTCGTATTTACTTTTTTATGAATTTGGGTGTTATAATTGTATATGTAGATATATATTTGGGAAGTTTGCGAGCGAGCTATCTTCCACTAAATAATAGCCCGTGGCTTTCAAGGATTATGTTAATTCAACTTTAGTTTATTCAATAATCTTCACTTACTAACTAATGAAGTGCTAATTTACAAATTGGTTTTATTGGTTAAGAGTCGCCGCGTGTCCGTGCAGGATGAATGTTCGAGAAAGAAGAAGGAAAAACTTCGGTCGAAAAATATAGTCGTCGTGCCAAAAAAGGAAATGTAAGTTGAGATGAGGTAGGAGTTGCGAAATGCAACAGGGTGCCACAGTACTCCCCCACTAGACGAACGCTACCTGTATCGCTGAGGGAGTCTGACGTGTCTACCGCTGCGGGTAGCTTTCGTCGATGTTTTTTCGATGATGGGATTTGCCTCATTCGATGAGTCTTCATTTGCAGAGAATGCAGGTTTGAGGCGATCTAAACTGATGTTCACTTTGCGACCCCGTACTGATACCGTGAAGAACTTCGTAGTTCGCCTTATCACCGGGTATGGGCCGTCGTATGGATGGGACAGCGAAGGGCGTATGGAGTCGTTTCGCACAAATACGTGCGATGCTACGTGCAAGTCCTTTGAAACGAATGTTTTTGTTGCTGCATGATGTGCCGTTTGTGTTGGGCGGAGATTTTGCATTGCTGACCGGAATTGTGTGACAATGTCGCTGGAGACTTCTTTAGGACCGGGGTATGTATCGAAAAATTCACCAGGGATCCTCAGCGTCGTGCCGTAAACCAGTTCGGCGGGTGAAGCATTTATGTCCGGTTTGATAGCCACCCGTAGCCCGAGTAGAATAGATGGCAGGTGGTAAGTCCACTTGTTAGAGTCATGGCATAATATCGCTGCTTTAAGGCTGCGGTGCCACCTTTCCACAATGCCGTTCGATTGCGGGTGGTAAGGCATAGTGCGAAGGTGAGTGGCTCCGATAGCTGTAATAAGCTCAGCAAAGACTGCCGACTCAAATTGTCTCCCCCGGTCAGATGAAATTCGAGCAGGTACTCCGAATCTCGATATCCAGTGCGAAAGTAGGGCTTTTGCCACGGTCTCTGCGCTCATGTCGGGCATTGGTGCTGCTTCGGGCCAGCGAGTGAAACGGTCGATCATCGTCAAGCAGTATCGCTGTCCCTCGCACAACGGAAAGGGGCCAACGATGTCGATGTTTATATGAGAGAAACGCTCTCGTGGAGGTTCATACTTCGCCGGTGACGTCACGGTATGGCGATGTACCTTTGAGCGCTGGCAAGCC